GAGGCACGTCTAGACATTTTTTTTCTATGATGTACACAATTATGAATGATGGTTTATATGGGTCCGATTGTTCAATTTAAAATTACAATGAAATTATATAGAAATTTTACATGACATCACATTGCCAAATTATGACATGACTTGATATTATTAAAGTTGTGATATAACAATATACTGATGAAACAATTTTTAATTTTCTATTTTAAAGAGTCAATCCTAAAAATTCATCTCCAATAGGTTCATTATTTAGGTTTGCTAAAATAGAGAGTTCAATTTGAATTTCTATATTTGGAGAGTCAACCTCACTCTCTACTCTATAATTAATGAATGAAAAATAACATATGTCCATTTTGCAGTAAAATGTTTTTCATTATAAAGAAAATTTCCAATGAAATAGAAAGTCTTATTGGAGTTGTCAAAAAAAAAAATTCATTCACTATTTTAATTTTTCTAAAAAATTTTCTTTATTATAAAAAAATATTATTTAAATAGATAGCACTATGTAGGGATGCTATTTAGAAATAGAATAGAGTGGGATGGACTCTCCAAATGTGGAGAGGCAAACCAGGCTCTCTATTATAGCTAGTCTAAATAGAATGCCTATTGGAGATTATTTTTTGTTGTTGATTCTCTAAAATAGAGAATTGAGTGAGAATAGAAAGTCTATTGAAAATGTTTTTCTCACGTAAGTGTCAAATAATGTGATTTGTGTTTATAAGGATATGCCTATATACATAGAGTGCAATTAAAATTCTCCCCATGATTTACATAAATATATGCCCTAGACATAGGCCACTAAGTTAGCATTCTAGGCCTCCCAAATGAAAATTAACATTTGGGAACTTTTTAGGATTGTTTAAAAACATTAGGGCGCCAATTTGAACCTAATTTTTGGTCCTGCTATTTTTTATTTTTTGGTTTTTGTAAACAAGACTTCATTTATTGACCATCTTCAACCACGCCTTATTTATCACAGGACATCATACACAAATCCCTACTTACTTTCATTCCGAAATTAATCATTTTAGCAATGAAAAAAAAATTTTAATTTACTTTCTCCATATTTTTAATTAATGAGAAGCTTAATTACATTTTAATCCAAATTCAACTTCCCCTACTATAATTTTTATGCACAAAACTTGAATATGCAAATTTAGTTATGCTCCGTTTGGTATGATGGAAAAATGGAAGAATGAAAATTTGGAATGATGGAAAGTTGAAGGGGTAAAAAAAATCATGTTTGGTAAGGAAGAAAAATAAGAAGGATGGAAAAGTGGATTAATTAACTTTCCTTTCAACTCATCAAATTTAATCCCTCCAAAATCAGAAAGAAAATGGACGAATAGTTAATTATTTGTGTTGAAATGTATCTTATTTGTCTATATATCTTTTGATATATACATTTATTATGTATACATTAAATTCATATAAAAATACAATGATAAAATATGTATTTATATATATATATATAAATTAAATTTAAATTTAAAAATAAAAAATATAAATAAAATAATAAAATAAAATAAAAATTTTAAATTAAAAAGTATATATTCCTTTCATCTTAACTAGGGGAAAATTTTTTGACTTAACACGATGACACGACTCGAACTTGATTATAACTCGACACGAACTTGAAAATGACCTGACACGTGAACAAAAAATATAAAAAACTCATAATTTTATGACTCAACACGAGTCTGACACGACACGACTCGATTGTCATCTTTAATCTTAGCCAGCAAAAAAAAATTAAAAACAAAATTAGTCATTTTTATTTTCTATTCATCCAACCAAACAAAAAGGAAGGAAAATGTATCATTCCTACTTTTCATCCTTGAAGGATTGAAAATGTATCTCTTCTATTTTTCATCCTTCATACTTTTCATCTTTCCCACCAAATAGAGCTTTAGTATATTTACATCTCAAAAAATGAACAAATGCCTAACTCTTGGGCATTTTTTTTTTCAAAAACTCATTCAAGAGTGTCAAATCTAACTTGATGAGAAATTTATCCCTCTCAACATCCATTAGTATTCCATCAAATTTTACAATAATTTTCAAGTAAATATATTAAAAGTGTAGATAATCAAAAATGTTTATTTGGTTAAAAAAACTTGTTATGATATTTTCATTACATGTTAAAAAAAAACGCCATATCTCAAACCAATTTCAGAAACTAAGTTTTGGAAGGGAAGGCTTTCTTTCAATGAATAGATCAAGGTGCCTAACTCGCACAACATAGAAACAAATAAAATAATTATAAGTAACTGAAACAATTATCATCAACCATGAATAAATGGGATAACTTGACGCTATCATTGACATGATAAGATATAGAATTAACAGCTTTTCTGCAAAAAAAAATTTAAGTTTATTGTTGTAGCAAAAACCAAATAGCAATTATTTATAATTTGGTAACTAAGGCAACAAACAAACAGACACACAGAAAGAGGAAGTGGAAAGAAGAGGGTTGGTGTTGTGGTGGTGGTGGTGGAGGTGGAGGTGGGGGCTAAAGAGTGAATAGATATATAGAATTACAGTAATGACCTTGATATCACTTTGTTGAAATCAAGAAAACAATTAAAACAATTGGAGTAGAGGAAAAAAAAAATGAAAACTCAAACTAAAATAAATTTTTATTCAAGTTGATTATAAACACATCACTTCCTCCACTAACTCGTTGTATAACGATTATAACATCAGCACGCCACTTTCTTCTTTATTTGCTACAAATAACACTATATTATACAAATTACTCACCCACCAGACTAATAACATACCTTAGTAAGACACTTTAACTATATGATAAAACTCTAAAAATAAGTCTACTTCCCAGGAGAGAGAGAGAGATCTTTAGACTTGGTTGTTCGTGTTAGCAGAGCTAACACACAAACTCTGGTACAGGGAGTGCCTTCTCAATCCTCTGTTCTATCCTGTGAAGAGAGAATTTTGGAGTTGCAGCAGAAAAACATGTAGATGAAATAAAACTGCATTTGGTTTGGCCTCTTGTAGATTGGACCACCCTGAAATATGGAGTACTCAATTTCCTAACATAAAATCAACACCTATACCAGCATGCATAAACAATGGTATTAGAATAACATGGCCAAGGACTGATGAAATCGTCAAGTATAGTAAACGCACTGCTCCAGCCTTTAACATTTTCCTCCGCATTGAGGGTCGTTAGATGATAACTGTCTCTCCAAAACCAAATGAAAATTTCAGCTCTCCCTGAGAAATTCCACTGCTACTTTGCACTTGACGTGTCAATATATTAGCGCCTCCTCCATTGACATTTGGATGCTGCTCATAGAGTTGTTTAATGGATGTACGCACCTCTCCTATATATCGATCCCCTAGGGTTCGCTTGCAGTATAAGGTGATCACCACCTCAATCCCTTCGTTTTGCACAGCCAACTCACCAATCATGTATTGCAACGTGACGTTCCAAGTAGGATTGGTCTCGCCTTCCTTATCTACCGGAGTTCGTTTCTCTGTTTTTGCATTGCCTGCAATAGTAACCACTGCATAAACCTTCATCCTAAATTTCTCACGTACGTCTCTCAGATTAGTAGCTGATATAAGTTTGAGATCAAACTTTCTACACTCCATTTTTTTTTTGTATTCGGAGGTGTAGACTGGGAAATCCACCCATTAGTGTCCTTCATATATAGAGACCATTGAGAATTATTTGCAGGAAATAATAAAACTCCAAATGATAAAGGTGAACCCCATTTGAACTTATATGACAGAAGAGTGAGAAGTTATTTTCTACATTATAGGTTAGTTATTGATTTTTGAAGGGTCTATCTGTTTATTTGTTTATTATTATTGGCTAGTTATACCACATCATCTTGCCACGTGAATCACCGTTGTAATGTATATTTTCTCTTTAATGTGGCAGAGAAGTAGAGTCATGTTTAAATGAAAAAATTCAACAAAATTTTGAAGCTTACAATTAATTTTTGGATAGTGTACTACTTCTACTCATTAATTTTTCTTGTCAATTTGTGTGTCATAAAATAAAATTAATAAGAAAAAAAATCTAAACCACCTGTAGTTGAGATAAAAATCAAACATGAACAATTTGGGTAGGTGTGAATGGTTTTGAGCATAGATGCTTGGAAGAGACTAAGACATGGCCAAAGTCGTGCACTTAGTCTTCAAAAAATTGACTCCTAATTTTCTGCATAAATCCAAAACACTGGACCTTCCTTGTTCTTTCGAGTTGCCCAACTTCTGGAGCTGTCGTGTTGGACCAGTACTATTCTTCCATTTTTCTAAATTATGAATGAGTATGTATTTGGCTTGCATTTTGTTTTGTTAGATTAAAGCAACTTGCTTTTCGCTATAAATGAAACAAAACTATACCATGTAAGGACAAAACTGTGTCACATAACTCCCCCAAAAAAACTTATGTCAAGGATTAAACACCCACTTTTCTTATCAATTATAAGAGGCAGGGCAGATTAGTTCTCTCTCTCTTCCTTCGACTGACACGCACGCACACATATATGCTAAGTAGTGTCCGAACCGTGCAATACATGGAATTTACAAATCCAAATTTCTCTCTTTCTACCACCTACTATTTTAGAAATTAGAGAATTTTAAAAAATTATAAGTATACTACATTAGACATGAGTCTTTGGCGAATGCCCTCAGCTCTCTTCCTACGCCATGCCTCTTGCACAAAAGGGACTTCATGAACAATTTGGGTAGGTGTAAATGGTTTTGAGCATAGGTGCTTGGAAGAGACTAAGACATGGCCAAAGTCGTGCACTTAGTCTTCAAAAAATTGACTCCTAATTTTCTGCATAAATCCAAAACACTGGACCTTCCTTGTTCTTTCGAGTTGCCCAACTTCTGGAGCTGCCGTGTTGGACCAGTACTATTCTTCTATTTTTCTAAATTATGAATGAGTATGTATTTGACTTGCATTTTGTTTTGTTAGATTAAAGCAACTTGCTTTTCGCTATAAATGAAATAAAATTATATCATGTAAGGACAAAACTGTGTCACATAACTCCCCCAAAAAAACTTATGTCAAGGATTAAACACCCACTTTTCTTATCATTGATAAGAGGCAGGGCAGATTAGTTCTCTCTCTCTTCCTTCGATTGACACACACGCACACATATATGCTAAGTAGTGTCCGAACCGTGCAATACATGGAATTTACAAATCCAAATTTCTCTCTTTCTACCACCTACTATTTTAGAAATTAGAGAATTTTAAAAAATTATAAGTATACTACATTAGACATGAGTCTTTGGCGAATGCCCTCAGCTGTCTTCCTGCGCCATGCCTCTTGCGCAAAAGAGACTTCATGAACAATTTGGGTAGGTGTAAATGGTTTTGAGCATAGATGCTTGGAAGAGACTAAGACATGGCCAAAGTCGTGCACTTAGTCTTCAAAAAATTGACTCCTAATTTTCTGCATAAATCCAAAACACTGGACCTTCCTTGTTCTTTCGAGTTGCCCAACTTCTGGAGCTGCCGTGTTGGACCAGTACTATTCTTCTATTTTTCTAAATTATGAATGAGTATGTATTTGACTTGCATTTTGTTTTGTTAGATTAAAGCAACTTGCTTTTCGCTATAAATGAAATAAAATTATATCATGTAAGGACAAAACTGTGTCACATAACTCCCCCAAAAAAACTTATGTCAAGGATTAAACACCCACTTTTCTTATCATTGATAAGAGGCAGGGCAGATTAGTTCTCTCTCTCTTCCTTCGATTGACACACACGCACACATATATGCTAAGTAGTGTCCGAACCGTGCAATACATGGAATTTACAAATCCAAATTTCTCTCTTTCTACCACCTACTATTTTAGAAATTAGAGAATTTTAAAAAATTATAAGTATACTACATTAGACATGAGTCTTTGGCGAATGCCCTCAGCTGTCTTCCTGCGCCATGCCTCTTGCGCAAAAGAGACTTCATGAACAATTTGGGTAGGTGTAAATGGTTTTGAGCATAGATGCTTGGAAGAGACTAAGACATGGCCAAAGTCGTGCACTTAGTCTTCAAAAAATTGACTCCTAATTTTCTGCATAAATCCAAAACACTGGACCTTCCTTGTTCTTTCGAGTTGCCCAACTTCTGGAGCTGCCGTGTTGGACCAGTACTATTCTTCTATTTTTCTAAATTATGAATGAGTATGTATTTGACTTGCATTTTGTTTTGTTAGATTAAAGCAACTTGCTTTTCGCTATAAATGAAATAAAATTATATCATGTAAGGACAAAACTGTGTCACATAACTCCCCCAAAAAAACTTATGTCAAGGATTAAACACCCACTTTTCTTATCATTGATAAGAGGCAGGGCAGATTAGTTCTCTCTCTCTTCCTTCGATTGACACACACGCACACATATATGCTAAGTAGTGTCCGAACCGTGCAATACATGGAATTTACAAATCCAAATTTCTCTCTTTCTACCACCTACTATTTTAGAAATTAGAGAATTTTAAAAAATTATAAGTATACTACATTAGACATGAGTCTTTGGCGAATGCCCTCAGCTGTCTTCCTGCGCCATGCCTCTTGCGCAAAAGAGACTTCATGAACAATTTGGGTAGGTGTAAATGGTTTTGAGCATAGATGCTTGGAAGAGACTAAGACATGGCCAAAGTCGTGCACTTAGTCTTCAAAAAATTGACTCCTAATTTTCTGCATAAATCCAAAACACTGGACCTTCCTTGTTCTTTCGAGTTGCCCAACTTCTGGAGCTGCCGTGTTGGACCAGTACTATTCTTCTATTTTTCTAAATTATGAATGAGTATGTATTTGACTTGCATTTTGTTTTGTTAGATTAAAGCAACTTGCTTTTCGCTATAAATGAAATAAAATTATATCATGTAAGGACAAAACTGTGTCACATAACTCCCCCAAAAAAACTTATGTCAAGGATTAAACACCCACTTTTCTTATCATTGATAAGAGGCAGGGCAGATTAGTTCTCTCTCTCTTCCTTCGATTGACACACACGCACACATATATGCTAAGTAGTGTCCGAACCGTGCAATACATGGAATTTACAAATCCAAATTTCTCTCTTTCTACCACCTACTATTTTAGAAATTAGAGAATTTTAAAAAATTATAAGTATACTACATTAGACATGAGTCTTTGGCGAATGCCCTCAGCTGTCTTCCTGCGCCATGCCTCTTGCGCAAAAGAGACTTCATGAACAATTTGGGTAGGTGTAAATGGTTTTGAGCATAGATGCTTGGAAGAGACTAAGACATGGCCAAAGTCGTGCACTTAGTCTTCAAAAAATTGACTCCTAATTTTCTGCATAAATCCAAAACACTGGACCTTCCTTGTTCTTTCGAGTTGCCCAACTTCTGGAGCTGCCGTGTTGGACCAGTACTATTCTTCTATTTTTCTAAATTATGAATGAGTATGTATTTGACTTGCATTTTGTTTTGTTAGATTAAAGCAACTTGCTTTTCGCTATAAATGAAATAAAATTATATCATGTAAGGACAAAACTGTGTCACATAACTCCCCCAAAAAAACTTATGTCAAGGATTAAACACCCACTTTTCTTATCATTGATAAGAGGCAGGGCAGATTAGTTCTCTCTCTCTTCCTTCGATTGACACACACGCACACATATATGCTAAGTAGTGTCCGAACCGTGCAATACATGGAATTTACAAATCCAAATTTCTCTCTTTCTACCACCTACTATTTTAGAAATTAGAGAATTTTAAAAAATTATAAGTATACTACATTAGACATGAGTCTTTGGCGAATGCCCTCAGCTGTCTTCCTGCGCCATGCCTCTTGCGCAAAAGAGACTTCATGAACAATTTGGGTAGGTGTAAATGGTTTTGAGCATAGATGCTTGGAAGAGACTAAGACATGGCCAAAGTCGTGCACTTAGTCTTCAAAAAATTGACTCCTAATTTTCTGCATAAATCCAAAACACTGGACCTTCCTTGTTCTTTCGAGTTGCCCAACTTCTGGAGCTGCCGTGTTGGACCAGTACTATTCTTCTATTTTTCTAAATTATGAATGAGTATGTATTTGACTTGCATTTTGTTTTGTTAGATTAAAGCAACTTGCTTTTCGCTATAAATGAAATAAAATTATATCATGTAAGGACAAAACTGTGTCACATAACTCCCCCAAAAAAACTTATGTCAAGGATTAAACACCCACTTTTCTTATCATTGATAAGAGGCAGGGCAGATTAGTTCTCTCTCTCTTCCTTCGATTGACACACACGCACACATATATGCTAAGTAGTGTCCGAACCGTGCAATACATGGAATTTACAAATCCAAATTTCTCTCTTTCTACCACCTACTATTTTAGAAATTAGAGAATTTTAAAAAATTATAAGTATACTACATTAGACATGAGTCTTTGGCGAATGCCCTCAGCTGTCTTCCTGCGCCATGCCTCTTGCGCAAAAGAGACTTCATGAACAATTTGGGTAGGTGTAAATGGTTTTGAGCATAGATGCTTGGAAGAGACTAAGACATGGCCAAAGTCGTGCACTTAGTCTTCAAAAAATTGACTCCTAATTTTCTGCATAAATCCAAAACACTGGACCTTCCTTGTTCTTTCGAGTTGCCCAACTTCTGGAGCTGCCGTGTTGGACCAGTACTATTCTTCTATTTTTCTAAATTATGAATGAGTATGTATTTGACTTGCATTTTGTTTTGTTAGATTAAAGCAACTTGCTTTTCGCTATAAATGAAATAAAATTATATCATGTAAGGACAAAA